CTGAGGGCTGGATTTGGCCCGTGGGCCTTGAGTTTGACACCCCTGATCTAGCTGAAATGGTTTCCATGGTATTTTGAAAGGAGATCTGGAGGAACATTAGTTGTATGAAAGAGAATAGATAGCTCCCTGTCTGAAAGTGATAATGCAGTGGGGGTGGGGTGGGGTGCCGGGACAGGGATGGGGGGGAGGCTTAACTTGAAAGCGTCAAGGAGAACTTTTGAAGGACCACAAGGGGGAATGCAAGTAAGTTGGAGGTCGGGATGAGATGCATTGCTGAAAGTGTTTGAAAGAAAAGAGATCGTCAGTAGTGGGTTAACCAGATTTTAGACTGGGGATGGAGAATCCTATTGGAACGGTAGAGGAGGAATCCCATGCTATTTAATACCTCGAAGGGGGTCAAACATCAATTTGAGTGAGGTATCATCAATACTCTGATCATACTCGGCTAATTCGTTACCTGAGCCATAGATCTATGGCTCAGCCATAGGAGATCCTTATTCAATATCTGGAAGCTGAAAAGGATTGAATGGGAAAAACTGGGTAAAATTAAACCTGTAGGAAATGGGTATTGCCTAATTGGTTGGCCAGGAAATATATAAGCCAACATTGTATGTTTGTATTATGTGAATGTGTTATGTAGGTTTAAGAACTGTGCTGAGTCATTCTGCATCCTGATTGGCTGAGCTCTGCAGCAAATGTATTTAATTTATTTATTAAGGACAGCTAAATTATGGTTAGCCAGAACACTATACCATTTTTACCTGCTGCTATGCTGTAACAAACTGTTTCCGTGCGTAAAACTCTAACGGTATTTTGCTTTATAAGCCACAACTTCGGGTGTAACTCAATAATATCCTTAACAAAACCCAGGCAAGGTGAGAAGTAGTGTTCATAAAAAAGATTCAGACTTCTATTTTGGCTCCAGACTAGGTTTATTTATTTATTTATTATTTATTTATTAATGAGATTTATATGCTGCCCTATTTCCAGCCGGACTCAGGGCGGCTCACAACAGTAAAAAACATCTAATGAAAAAGTTAAAAAGAAATTAAATCCAAATCTCATAATTTAACAGTTAAAAGTTAGTCTTAAATCAAGACTAACAAGTTAAAAATTAAAACCTCATCAGTCCAGGCCAGCCAAATGAAACAGCCATGTTTTCAGGTCGCGGAGGAAAGAGCGGAGGTCGGGGGCCACCCGGAGCTCCAGGGGCAGTTGATTCCAAAGGGTAGGTGTGCCCACAGAGAAAGCTCTCCCACTGGGGGTCGCCAGCCGACACTGTCTGGCCGACGGCACCCTGAGGAGGCCCTCTCTGTGGGAACGCACTGGGCGATGGGCAGCTGTTGCTGGCTGCAGCCCCAAATATCCCGGGCCTAAGCCATATAGGGCCTTATAGGTAATCACCAGCACCTTGAATCTCACTCGGAGGGCAACCGGCAGCCAATGCAAGTCGCGTAGGAGAGGTGTAACATGGGAGTATCGAGATACTCCCATCACAACCCGCGCGGCCGCATTCTGCACCAGCTGAAGCCTCCAAGTGGTCTTCAAGGGCAGCCCCATGTAGAGGGCATTGCAGTAGTCAATACGGGAGGTGATAAGGTTACCTTCCCTACTGAGTTCACACACATTCACAAGCCTTTCTGAATTCAAGCTCCTGCTTGATCAGCAAATAGTCAAGGTGAAAAAAAAGACTTTTGCCCAGCTTCAGCAGGTGCAACAATAAAATCCTCTTTTTTTTTGGTGGTGGTGGGTAACTTGTGATACTAACTCATCATTCACACCTCTACGATATAGAAATGCAACATATTCTGCCTGGAACTACTTTTGAAGGCATGTCAGAAATTGCAGTTGGTCAAAGATTGCTATGAACTAATTAAAATATACAGATGTCTATGGAGATTCTCAGTCATCCAGGTCATCGTTGCCCCAAAGATGCTTTTCAAAAGGCAACTGGACTTTGTTTTTCCTTGAAGACTTTTTGCTTACTATCCAAGAAGCTTCTTCAATTCTGACTGAATGGTGGAGGATGGAAGGATTTATATTCCTTGCAGTCATTTGGGAATATGGACCCAGTTTGAGAAGTAAAACGTCTTCAAGGAAAAACAGTCCAGTTGCCTTTTGAAAAACAGTATATTGGGACAATATATTTTTTTTGTGGGCTCAACACTGATTGGCCAATATGTTTCTGAATTCAATTCAAAGTCCTGGTATGAATTGGTTGTCTTTGGAATCAGGGAGAATCTACCCATTCTGAAAAGTCTTCCTGGGACAGGAAGTTTTTGCTTCCTATCCTGCATTAAATTCTTGTTTGTTTGTTTTATATGGCTGCCAGTGTCATGGTAGAGCCTCTGGATAGTTAAAAACAAGTTTTAACATAAGACCAAAAACCAAACCAAATTAACCACAATACAAAGCAGGCCTTAAAATAAATAAATACATTAATACATGTTGGGAGGTGGAAGCAGACTTCCTTGATTGCATTGCAAACAGCTTCTTCTACAAGCTGAGATTGCCTCCTTCCCAATTTTGTTCTCCCAGGTATTTGAAGGATCAGGGTTGTTGGAGCAGCTGGATTTGAGTGGATTGCTTGCAGCAAAATGTCTTTTTGTGGCTTTTGTGAGATGTATGGTTTTATTGGTTATATTTTCTTTCTTGCTGTATATTGGAAACAACTCAAAGTACTGAGATTAGAGTGGTAGGCAATATAAGAAACCCTCCCAGGTAAGAATAATTGAATTTAATGGAAATTCTGTTTCAAGTCAGGATTGCAGCATTACTTACTTGAATGACGTACCCTGTTGTCTGAAACTACCTCGAACAAAATTGCATGTTGAATATTTAAAAGCACAATGTAGCAGTCCATCATAGTAGTGAAATCTGTCAACTTTAAGAGAACAACACTAATTCAACAACACACTGAGTGAATTGGGTGGGGTGATGAAGGAACCCTTTGCTGTACTTTGAGAAATTTATTTCTGCTGGCCGATGCCAAAGAGTTTTTGGCAGAGATATCTGTCAGAATTGTCCTGTTGGCCAAGACGAGGATCATATGAGGACACTCTTCTATTGCTGCCAGCAGTCCTAAGTAATTTCCTACAATAGGCAGCATGTCACGATGGATAAATGTTGTCTTCAGTAAGAGTGTCTTCTCAATATCATTAGCTGAAGAAGGTGAGCGGAAGGACTAATATGTCAGCTAATGGGCTTCCCATAAACATCTGATCAGCCATGAGGTAAAGCCATGGACCAAGCAGGCCTTGGTCTGATCATAGCATGGCTATCTTTCAAAATCAGTTGGTAGTTAGCTCAATGCCATAAATTCCACTAAATACATACATTTTGGACACATGTAATCTTGATCATCATCTAGAGAAGGGGTGTCAAACTCTTATCACGTGCTGGCCCTGCCCAGCTTTAGCAAAGGGGGAAAAAGTCCCGATATATCATGTGACACCGCTGTGACAGCGCAAGTTTGACACCCCTGATCTAGAGCAGTAGTCCCCAACTTTTGTGGCTTGGCGGCATGATGGGGGGGGGGGAGAAGGGAACCAGGCCTCGCGAGCGGCGGGCCAGCGCAGCACGCACATGCAGTGCAACTTGTGCAAGCGATGGACTGGCACACATGTGCACGCACAGCTCAACTTGCACAAGTTGTGCTGTGCATGCATGTGCACAAGTACCAGCCCGCTGCTCGTGCGGACCGGTTGTGAATAGGCCGCAGCTTGGTAATGGGACACCACTAGAGCAGAATATTGTCTTACATTGGAAGGCTGGATCACATCTGTTTGCCATAGAAAGTAGTTGCTTTTTTTTTTTGTCAGCCCTAGAAAATGAAGAGTTATTTACATGGCAGCACAACACACTAGATTATTACCCATTTAGATTACATTTTGAATCTTGCTCAAGGATACCCAATTGGTATCGTAGCCAAGCCAGAATTTGACTGGAAGCCTGGAAGATGATTCCTATTTCTTTACTAAAATCAGGGGACTAGCTATGTAGGTTGCATTTCATATACACATCATCTCTGCCAGAAATGTTTCTACAATAAAACAACTTGGACTTAAATGCTGTCAGAGCATGAAGATGACAGAGATCAAATTGGCTGCATGTATCGCTCAGAATAAATGCTGTAGGGATGTGCCTTAGAAAAGACATGGTAAGTTACAGTTTACCATTTGTGCAAAGCAAATAAATGGAGAATTCTGATAGGACAGAGACAATGGGGAAATAATTCTATGAAATGATGCTTCTTTCCCACATTATATTAATAAAAGAGAACTTTTGGAAGTGGTTGACTAGTTAAACTTTTGGAAGTGGTTGACTAGTTAAAACTCAGTGCCACATCCTTTCCCCACCCCCATCCTGTCGCCGTGTGTCTGGCTCCCTTCTCTGCCATCTTGTCTACGTGATTTTATCTGTTAATGTTTTATTTTCTGTTTATTTTTTAAATAATGGATGATTTTAACGTTTTTTAAATGTTTTTTTAAGTTGTAAGCTGCCCAGGGTCATTGGATACTAGATGGGTGGCAAATAAATTTAATAAGTGAATGAATGAATGAATGAATGAATGACTACCAAGTTTTATATTTTGGGTGTAGGTTACATATTGGACTGAGTAGCATCTGCGTGTAGCTCTTTCAGCTGCATGTGGTGACATGCAGACAACAACAACAACAACAACAACAACACACACACACACCTGTCCTTTGTGTATTCACACTTGATAAGTTCACATTGAGGACCACATGATACCCGACAGAACACAATTAATGTTTCTAGTTTCTGGGCAAGATCTGTTTAATTTGTACAGTATTTTAATCTTGTATTTTATATTTTAAATTTTATGACATACGGTAGTATGCCTTATTTTAATCGTGATAGGAATAAATCAACAAACTCTAGAATTTTTTTAATTATACAGATTGTTCACGTGATCGCATTTGGTATGCCAAGCGAATGTCATTTCCTATCACAACAAACCTTATGACATCTCTTACCTGTCCCTGAGAATTGTCCAAAGCTCTCCACCTAAACAGGCTTCCATCAACATATATAAATACTTGCTGTCCTTAAATGTCCTATATAGCCTATAAAAGAAAGGGGGAAAAGAGTTATGAATGCTTACTGGACTTTGAAATGTTAAATACAGTCTATGACCTTCGGCCACTTAAAGAATAGGTGATGGTCTTTAGGTGTTGTATTATTATTATCGTTCTGAGAAAAAATGAAGTCTATTCAGACTTCTGTCAATTAATTCTTTTTTTTTTTCTGAATTCAGTAGACAACATGTGACTTAGCTTTTGAGGATTTCTGCTACTTTTTTTCTTTTCCTGCATCAAGGGAATATAAATGCTGGAGGCTTACTATGCCAACTGTTACCAATCTCTAATAAATTATAGACGATGTAAGACATTTGGCCTTGAACTGCCTTCAGCTATCAGTCATGGCAAATCTCAAAAGATGCCCTATCATGAATGCCTCTGTCTGTGGGGGTTCCCAATTACAGAGGATATGCAACATGTCCTATGATACTGTAATTTTGAGAGGGACTTGAGTGCTACATTAATTAGACATCTCACAAAAGCACTGCCAGATGCAGAAGAAAACGGGTGTATCTCTTTTTTGGAAGCAGAGTATATGAGCTATTGATACCCATAATAAGCCAAAATTTGGTCTAGCAGCTTTGAAAACATGTTTGTAAATACAACCCAACAGGGTTGAATTATTTTAAAACTTCTGTCTTTCGATTCTGAAATTGCCTTACAGATTATTTCATGTTCTTTTCTGGATCCTCCATGACAGCAGTAGCACTTAAGACTTCTACACCGCTTCATAGTGCTTCACAGCTCTCTCTAAGCGGTTTACAGAGTCAGCATATTGCTGACAACCTGGGGTTCTCATTTTATCAACCTCGGAAAGATGGAAGGCTGAGTCAATCTTGAGCCAATTGAACAATTGAACTGCTGGCAATTGGCAGAATTAGTCTGCAATACTGCATTCTATGAACTGCGTTACCACTGCTCTACTTATGGATAATGAAGGGTCTTAGGTGTATATATAGTCCAAGACTGTACTAAAGATGTTTTGTTTTTTCATTTCTTGTCTTGTCTTTAGTACTCCCTAGCTTGATGAGAATTCTGACATATAGAAATCTCACATTTTTGCAACATTTGGACTGCTTTTGATCAAAATAAGCTATTTTGTGAAGGGATTTTAGTATTTTGTTTCCTTAATTTTCCTTATTTTTCTAATCTTTTTGCCAGAAAGCTCGATATTTTGAAATAACCCTCAAGCAGAAATAACTTTTACTTGTATTTTTACTATTTTATACAAATTTCATAAAATTATAATGAAGGTGATTCAAAGGAGGTTAGGGATCCAAGTATCTAAAGAAGCCAAGGCGTAATTCAATGTTGTTCTAAGCCACCTTGTAACATTTTTGAGGTACAAATGTATGCATGTTTGTGTGTATCCACCTATACACAATGAGTTACTAAGATATGACCTGTGCTGCTATAGCTATTAGTTAAGAATGGGAAGGAGAGCAGAAATAACAATAGCAGTAGCACTTACACTTATACAGTGTAAGCTGTATTTACACAGCCCTCTCTAAGCAGTTTACACTAAATCAGCATATTGCCCCCAACAATCTAGATCTTCATTTTACCAACCTGGAAGGCTGAGTCAACATTGAGCCAGTGAGAATCGAATGGCTGGCTATTGGCAGAATTAGGATGCAATACTGCATTCTAACCACTACGCCACCACGGCTTTTTGAAACGTAGTTAACATGCCTTCAGTTAGACATAACATTTCATCATTATTAATAACCAAATGTCTATTTTTAAAAATGAATTGGCTGTTTTAAGTTATTTATTGCCTGTTTTTTTTATGCACATTGCAACTTTACTCTTCATTTAAGTTACACTATGGTATTTACAATGATAAATAACATAGTGATAATTCATGTACTCGTTGGATATTTCAGGCATTTGAATGAATGTTTAGAGCAGATAAGGCATTATATAGCAATTTGATAGAAGAATGTAATGAAAAGCTGAGAACAAATTCTGCACTCTGAAAGTTTTATCCAAGAACACAAGTCATACCTCACAATAAAATCTGAGTGAGCGCCTTGCATGATCTGTTTTTCTGAGCGTATATGTTCTTGCTGTCTCGTGTCTACTATGTGGCGTTTCTTTAGTATCTTCATTGCAAAAGTTTTTGATTCATCACTTTTCAACTGCACCTTGAGGAAACCAGACATTTGAATGATCAGAATCAGTGGTTATAGTGGGGCTCCCAAATGTTGAGCTTTGAGTACATAATCGCTAGTCGTTACTTTCAAGTGCAAAGTAATACAATCAACAGGCTTAAAATTTTACATTCAGACTCAAATTAATGGCTGTGACAGCTTATTCTTCCTTTGAGTAAAACACATGTGAAGAAATGTTATTGCTCTAATTTTCACTCAGATTACTAATGAGTTGGGATGGAAAACATGTTGGAAGGGACTAATCTGATTTTAGGGAGTCAGAATAATCATTTTCAGGAAGGAAGTAATCTGATTATTTAAGAAGATGAATGTGATGAGAAAGTCTGTACAATTATGAGGAAAAATTGGCATGTTATTTGAAATTATTATCATATTTATGTATTTTAAAATGTGTTGGTAGTGGTTTGTTATCCGAGTTCGTTGTTTAATTTCCAAACGTTCAGAAGCTAAACAACAAACTCGGATAACAAACCACCACCACCATCTACCACCCAAGCTACAAATATTTTCCGCCATTTCTAATTTTAAAATTCAGTAATGGGAAGCAAGATGTATTCTTGCATCCAGGTCAGGCAGACGATGTGATTGTGGTGCTGACTGAGTGCCCAGAGACTGAGAGTTTGGATGGGGAGAAACTGACTTTGATTCAATTTTGGCAAAATGGGTAGGCTTTGGGGTTTTGACCCCACCATCTTCAGGTGGGGTCTTCTGGTGATCTGTCATAATTGACTCTGGACAGGGTTGCACCTCCCTAGATGAGCTGATGTGTAATTTGGGGGAGTCTTACTGGACTCACCTCTCCTGCTTCAGAAGCAGGTGGCACACATAGATAGGAGGGGCTTTGCACAGATTTATCTAGTGCCCCAAATGTGCTTTTTCTGCTTTTACTTTAGTCACTTCCCATTTGGATTACTGCAATGTGCTCTATGTGGTGCTGCCCTTGAAGACTACTTGAAGCTACAACTGGTCCAGAATGCAGAAGTGTGTGTGGTACTGCACGTCTGAGAATGTTGCACCTATGTTGTGCAAGCTACACTGGCTCCCAGTTTCCTTCTGTGTCAAATTTAAGGTGGCGGTTACCACCTTTAAAGATCTTCATAGCATGGGATATGGTTATATGCAGGACCATCCCTCCCTGAGAGGGATGTCTGTCCATCCTACCATGTTGGATAGGGTGCCATGCTCTTCCATTGACATCTTGTTATCTAATAAGATCTCAGAATTGTCCCTTTTCTATAGCCGCTCCTACTTTAAGGAATACCTTCCCCAACAAATGATTGGGCAGGCGCTCACTTTTTTAGTATCTTAGAAGGCTATCAAAATCTGGCCTTTTACTCAGGTACTGGAATAGGATGAAGCTATCTGGAACTGATTGTGGGGCATCATGAGTGAGGGACTGGATTTTTGTTTTATTTTATAGCTTATGATTTCATAGTTACTAGTTTTGTCTTGAGCCACCAAGAATTGTGTTTAAGATGGGCAGGCATTCATATAAATAAACAAATAAATGAAATACTAACAGAGATTGAAGCCATGTCATTTACCAAGTTTCCACAGCTTAGTCTAGAACATTCCTCATTCCATTCCACCGCTTTAACCACTACACCACATTCCCTCTCTTATTTGACTTCCTTTTTCTTTACTCACCTTCAGCAATGACAACTAAACAGACCAGCAAGCCCTTTACCTTTCCACATGTGTTTTGCAATGACATCTCTTTTCAACATTTATTTTAGCTTTATGTAAAAAATAGCTCCTTCAAACATAGTACATTATATAAAATTTGGTCAAATGTTTAAACAAAACACTTAACTTTGACCAGGTAAAATAATTTTCAACAGTCCTTTCGTTATGCGCTCCAATAACATTAAATTATCTACAACTGCATCGTCCTTATTCTCTTATTAAGAAAATACCGTATACTGTACAGAAGGGTTAGGGTTAGGGAATATGAAGGAAATGTTGGAAATGAAAGGAAAAATGGAATAGAAATGGACTATCTCTACATTCTATTTTCTTTCTAAGTGTCCTTACAATGCTAATAATGAGATTTTAATTCTGCCTTGAATGTAAACATGGAAAAGGTTGCATGTTCTACAGTATATTAAAAAAAGAAAGAAATTCTACTTCCTTCTAGCACTGATGATATTACCTAGTTTGGTAATGAAACATCAGCAAGAAAAACTACAAAGTTCACACAGCACTGTTAATCCTACCAATAAATGTCATAATAAATAATGACTTTATTTATATTGATTTTATTTCTATGGACATCCATTTTGTAAATCTAATTCATCTAATAACATATTAAAAATAATACAGAAGGACAAAAGCATGAAAATCTAGAACATCTAGAAGCCACCACGGGTTTGTTAAAAACAGATCATGCCAAACCAATCTTATTTTATTCTTTGACAAAGTGAATAAATTAGAAACCAAGAGAAATTCTGTGGACATAGTATACTTTGAGTTCAGTAAGGCATTTGACAAAGTAGACCACAACCTACTTTTTCTAAGCTAGAAAAATGTAGTATAGACAGCATCACCACCAGATGGATTTGTAACTGGCTGACAAATCATACTCAATGAGTCGTCCTTAATGGTGCTACATCTACATGGAGAGAAGTAAGCCATGAGGTTCCACAAGGTTCTGTTTTAAGCCCAGTACTCTTTAATATCTTCATAAATGATTTGGATGAGAAAATAGAAGGGGAATTCATCAAATTTGCTGATGACATTAAACTGGCAAGGATAGCCAACACCCCAGAAGACAAGCTCAGTATCCAAAAAGACTATGACAGACTTGAACAATGGACCCTATCCAACAACATGAAATTTCCTATGCAGGAAAAACCAATGGTACAAGTACAGATTAGGTGAAACCTGGCTCAAAAACAGTAACTGTGAGAGGAACCTTGCAGTCCTCATGGATGATCACATCATGAGCTAGTCGCAGTGTGCAGCCACCGCCAAAAAACCAATACAATCCTTGGCTGTATAAACAGAAGCCTAGAATCAAAAATCACATTAAATATTAGTACTACTTTATAAAGTCTTAGTAAGACCACACCTGGAATACCGCATCCAGTTTAGGTCACGACATTACAAAAAAGATGTTGTGATGTTGGAAAAAGTGCAAAGAAGAGCAACTAAGATGATTAAAGGCCTGGAGACTAAAACATATGAAAAATTGTTACAGGAATCGGGTATGGATATTCTAGGAGTGACATGATAGCAGTAGTCCAGTATTTGAGGGGCTGCCACAAAGAAGAGAGTCAACTTATTTTCCAAAGCACTAGAAGGAACAATGGATGGAAACTAATCAAGGAGAGAAGCAACCTGGAACTAAAAAGAAACTTCCCAACAGTGAAAACAATTAACCAGTGGAACAGCTTGCCCTCAGAAGTTGCAGATGCTTCATCGCTGGAGGTTTTTCAGAAAAAAATGAATAGGCACCTTGTCTGAAATGGTATATGGTCTCTTGCTTGAGCAAGGGGTTGGACTAGAAGACCTCCAAGGTCCCTTCCAGCTCTATTCTGATTGATTGAAAATCTATACTGGTTGCCAATAATAGTCCAAGTAAAAACTCAGTAGAAACAGTAGCATCTCACATAACATCTAACTCCCCAACTCTCATGCACTGAGCCACTGGGCCACCTTTTAGTCTCCAAAGGTCTCCAAAAAGCCATCAAGGCCCTTCCTAAATTTAACCAAGTTTGAAGCCAAATATATATGGGGTGGCAGCAATCCATTTGGGAAATTCTAAAAGAAGATGATTCTTGTACTTTTTCCAAACAAGTAGATGGAACAAATATTTTAAGATAAATTAAAGTGCCTTACAGCAAGAAACTCTGACTCAAGAAAATGAATTTATTTCCAGAAACTTTTCAATGGGGCATTGAAGCAGCATGCAACCTTTTCTATCTTTCACTGGAGGAAACCCAATGTCACAATTCACTGGTTCACAAACTCGACCAGAGTTTGTCTTCTCCGTGTCTTACTGAGGTCAGAAAGAAATCATTTTGAAAGAGCCAAAAAATTGCTCAATGATTGGATGGATGAAAAATGCAGATGTGTGAGAGAACAAGGGCCAAAATGTCAGTACTTCACGTTGCCAGTTTTTGCTGTACATTGAAAGGGAAATTGTTCACCTGAATAGTGTGGAATGAGAGTATTTTATGATGCAAGTCATCCAGTCAAATGAGATGCATTTGTATGCTGCCCAAGACAAAAAGCTGCTTCATTTAACAACTCTGTTCTCTGATAGCTTGACATCGCCAGTCTGCCAGAGGAGGAAAACTCTCTTTCAATCTAATTTCCTTGCTGTTACTAAAGGAGATGCAATTTGATCATTTGTTGAAAGTTTTCTGCCTAGATTCCTCTTTTGAATGCAATTGGCATTTTCTCCAATAGAAGCAACTTGAGCATGTCAGACATTTGGCGTTTCAATCAAAGATGGGGCAAGACAAATCAGCAATATCTCAAAACCGAGGAAGCAAAAAGTAAGTTTTTGTGCAGATCATTAAGTTCTGCAGAGCTTTAAAATAAAGCTTTAAAGACAAACCCAAAGGTCCATATAGTAAGCTGTTTGAATGTACTTAAAGCAGTGTACTAAAGTCAGTGGGACTCTGATGCAATTTCTCACTAACCCAAAATCTTATTAAAGCTCATAAAATTATCTGCTACAATGTCCTACCTGTCAATGACTACTTCAGCTTCAACCACAACAATACATGAGCACATAATAGATACAAACTTAAGGTAAACTGCACTAAACTCAATTGCAGAAAAAATGACTTCAGCAACAGAGTGGTCAATGCCTGGAATGCACTACCTGACTCTGTGGTTTAATCCCAAAACTCCAAAAATTTTAACCTAAGACTATCTACTGTTGATCTCACCCCATTCCTAAGAGGTCTGAAGGGGCGTGCATAAGAGCACCAGCGTGCCTACCCTCCCTGTCCTAATGTTTC